TTGGAAAGGATACCATGTCTGTATCTTGTACTATGAATAACTGCTATAAAGACAACAATATGCAATGCATAAATTATTATAACTGTTACTAAATTGTTTCAAACTCTCTCATTGCTTTTTGTTTCTCAGCAAGATTAATAAAAAATAAGTAAATAAAAATAAAAAGAGAGAGAAAAAGCAGGTATAAAATTGAGAATTATTCTCTGAACATTTTGTAGTTTTAGACAAAAATTAAATATTTGCAAAATTTCCTATTTGGGAAACTTGTACTACGTGACTATTTGGAGCCCTAGGATTATGCAGCAGTTAGAAAATCAATAGTTATCCATGAACACTGGCATGAATATGAGAAGCTGAATCTGTGGTGCAGATGTTTGCAAGTTACTTCAAGGCAATGCTTGTGTGCATTTATCTAAATGCTGATAAATTACAACTGAGCCTCCAAGGAGTATGCACTGGGCAAAAAGAAACATCCTTCAATGTTCATGTCACCTGAATTCCAGGCCCTGAGCATGCATAGAATTTTTCTGCTATTGAGGCAAAACTCAGACTCCACATATTTCAACACAAAGCCTCAGGGAAAACATACTGTACTTGCCAGTGGAATTCACAATTACTGTAGAAGACAGAAACTTCAGAATTTTCTTCCAAGGACCACAGTTATCCATTGAAATAGGCTAGTGTTTGAAAACAGAAGAAAAGAAATTTCACAACTGCAACTCACCTTGGAGTATGACAGAAGATTCCCCAAAAAAGGCAGAGGTTTTGGACCAGGAATTCCCAGCTTCTTAAAATATCCATGTGTGTGTGTCCCATATCTGAAAAATGAAACAGAAAAGCACATCTTGAGTTAGGGACTTTACATGCATGTGGGTATACCTGCCACTTAGTAACCTTAACAGTCAAGCCTTAAGTGTACTATGTATGTGATCACTAACATCAAACCTGAAAGAATATATTGTACATTCACTATCTCCTCTGTCACTTCTACAGACACCTTGTAAAACTGACAAAACCAAGCGAAATCAGGTGGAGTTATGTTTTCAAACCTATATTCAATGCTTGAAAGACACACACAAATATGAGTGCAAATCTGATATTCAGGTTAGAAATTTTACAGGATATGTGTTTTGTTGACATCAAGTGATGAGGAAAATCACATTACCATAAAGAAGAAATGTACCTAGATTCTAGGGGAAAAGATTGAATTGTTTTCTCCATTAGTACTATTTCATGCAAATCTCTTATCAGAGACACATGGTCATGCAGATGGTATAACATTGTGTTTACATCTTTTTATTTTCTATTAATTTTACTGAGAAAGAAATAGCAAGAACAGGTTAGTAAGACAGTTACTATAATTAATACTTTACATATTGTTGTCTTTGTATTTGTTATTCACACTACAAGATGCAGACATGATCTCTTGTCTAAATAATATTAGTAAAAATCTCACTGAACTAAAAGAAAGTAGCTGTATTTCTATCCTCACTATTTTGTATATACATATATATTTTTTCACTACAAAATGGTCCTTTGTTTATATCTCCCTTTTTGCTGTGCTTTGTCGGAGATGGGTGTTTCATTGCTGTTAATAGAAATTGTATTTGGAGACATGTTTAAAGGACGTTTTCATCTTTGATGCCAGTTCAAATATTATAGGTACTTGAATTCAGCAAAATATCCCAATATAGTCCAATAGTCTATAATAGTAGTGGGTTATTGGCAGAACTGTCAATTGTCTGAAGTTGTTGACTTGAGCTTTTACACCTCAGCATATAATATGGCATTACTTTTTATACCTTGTCATTATATTTTTCTGCTGGATGGTTAAGAGCAAAAATGTGTTTCTATTCCCACAGAAGAAGGATTTACCTTAGTATTTGTCCTTCTGAACCTGTCTTCCAAGAAGAAACTGGTGAAAGTCATAATGCTGTTCTTTCTCTAGAGTGATAGGTTCAAGCATGCACTGGCCTGAGACAAATGTAAACAACTGAGGAACACCCAAGTCTTTGTTAGCAGAAACCTCATGGATTTTAGCTATAGGCAATTCTATGTTCCCTAAAAGATATGACAGGGAAGAATGAAACACTATGGACTCCATCTAGGGACTGTTTCTCTATTCATTGAATCTCTGTCATCAGGTAATGTACAGTGACAGGAAGGATAAGGATTTATAAAGTTGAATCACAAAATCATTAGTTTCTAATACATTGTTGGAAGTAAGCCCCCAAAATTGGTTTCACCTTTCTGAAGAAACAGTCTGATAATGAATTAAAGTGTGGCAATGTGCCTAGCTTGCTTATCCCACAGTTTGGGCAATGGGCTGAAAGGAAGACTGAGTGTTCCTTCTGTTTATCATCTTTATCCTGAGAAAGAATTCTGACCCAAGGAAAACAAGAATTCTTAGAGTGAACTAGGACAAAATTTGGGCACAGGATCCAGATTTTCTATACATAAACTTGTAGGAAAATAAACTCGTGGCTGGACCTCCCCACTATGGCTTTCCTTCTTTCATTTCTATCTCCCCTAATGCCCACGTCAAGGGTTGGAGCCCCACAGTTGGTGCCTGATCAGGGACCTCAGGCATTCTTAGGACTCAGGATGGAACCCTGGCAGCAGAGAGGCCTCATGAGTAAGTGAGTGCCAGGGGAAAATTTCATCGGGAGTAAAATTGGGCATATGCAGTTTCAGGAGCAGAAGCTCTCTGTAGAGGTCATCAGGACTATTCTTAAGTCCCAGCGGATCACCATGACCTCTCCACAAATTTCTTACTCTCTATGTTTTCTTATGGAGTGTTGCCATGTTTTCCACAGGAAGGCAAGCTCGATCAATGAAGTGCTCTCGGATAAAGTTGGAAAGGACCTTAAGGATTATTATAATACTCATAGACCCAAACAGGTGCATATACTTTTACTTTGTAGCCAGGTATATGTGATGCCATGGAATTTGCCATGGAGTCTTAAGTGGTGGAAACATGCATGTATAGGTCTTATGATGTTAGTGTATCCCCTTTTCTGATTTCTACCCTTTTGGCACCTACCTTGGGAAAGACGTCTCTCCACTAGAAAATTGTTTTGCTGACTTAAATACCAGCTCTGAACTACAGCAGGATCCTCCTGAGGAGGAAGTTCAACAATAAGAAGAGGAGACTGCTAAGTATGGAGATCATTAGGATAGGCTGTTCCAGCCAACCCTATCTTAGATCCATCCTCCTTTCTTAATCTCCATCAAATTCTTCAATTCATTCAGTAGCTGTGTGACATTAAGGCTTCTCACAAATGAAAGACCCAAAGGAGAAGGTTGAAAAGTTGCTTTTTGCCAGTATTATACCATTTGAGCAAGGGAGATATTCTGTCCTTCCTTCTCACTTGTCCTCATGGATATCCGCAGCTCAGGCTCAGATTCCTGTCTTCAGAGAATGGCCCCTTTGTCAGCTCACTTTGAATCCCTTGGAGGCCCTCTCCCTATTGAAGAGAAGGGGCTTTTTGGGTGCCTGTACCTGAGAAGCTCATAATATGTGAGATTATTCATTGCCCATGACCTTCCTTGTCCTTGCCAGTGTAGAGGGCCAGAGTCCTTACAAAGCATTAAATATTAAGTTAATCAAAGACCTAAAGGAACCCTGAAAACTGTGGCCCCACTGTGGGATTACTGGATCAACTTACGATATTCCAGATGATGCCATATGACTAGGGATGCCTTTTACCTCTTGCTCTTTCACTATCCCTCCCACAAATTCTTAAATTGTCTTACAATATCTTATGGCCTTCCCACAAAACTACAAACCACTTCAAGATGCCCCTGTTGTCCTTACAGACACAGGCCCAAAACAGTATTATTATGGAGAAAAATTATGTTATTAGCTGTTCCCAGATTGTGCTTTGTCCCGAAGTGAAAAATGAGGGGAAAATGCTTCTGTGGTTGCAGGTTAGTGGGAGAAGGGGCAAGGAATGTAAGAAAAGAAGAACTGAGCAGAGACAAACAATGGGGGAGAAGGTTGCTTCTGGGAAGATAAACTGCTGTTTTAAGGGTTTCAGCGATATTAGATGACAACTATAATAATTCATCAATTCATACAGGGTCCAAAAACTATCACTAAAATGCAATAATGAAGATATTTAAAAAGATTGCATAATTTTTAAAGATTTCCAGTAAATCTGGTTGCTTCTTTATTGTCCTTCATTAAAACTGGTGTAAAAAAGTCTTAACACTTTACAAAGAAATATAGGGGTTTGCAGTATAATTTCCTTTATTTATTCCCATAATTTTATTGAGAATCAAGTAGCAATGAGACAGATTCAAAATAAATAAGTAGGATAGTTTCAATAACTAACACATTGCATACATTCTTCCCAGTGGTTAATTGCTGTACAACTTGTGGACATGATATCCTATTTACAAACACCATTAGAATAAATCCCTGTATTTATTAAGAGAATGTAACTATATATCTATCCTAACCATTTTGAATACACAAATACAAAATGGACAGTCATCGGTATACCCCATTTTTTCTAAGTTCCGTTATTGAATATTATAGGTGTGTAAACTCAGCAAAATATTCTAAAAGAGTCCAGTAGTCCATAATAGTATTGGGCCTTTGGGTTCACTGGCAATGTCAGAAATTTTTGACCTGATTCTCCTACAGCTCAACATAACAGTATTGCTTTATTTCTTATACATAGTTTTCATACTTTTCTGCTGGATAGTTAAGACCAAGATAAAGCAAGATATATGCAACAGGAGTTATAGCTTTTGGGTCTGATAAGGTCAGTGAAATCCCCGCAGGATTTCTTCTGAGGTCCTGTACCTCAGACTGTATATCCTTTGTCAGTGTCAGCCATGTGGATGAGTCACAGCCATTGCTTGGCCAATTTGCTCTCTCTGAAAGCCTGAGAGAATGTTTTCTCTCCATGTGACTCTCCTTAGGCACACTCTACATCATCGATCACTTTCCTCTTTGGCCTCATAATCTACTTGATCATAAAATTTGGGACAATACTGAGTTACATGATGTTACAGTACATGTTCTTATATGTCCGGAGTCTTAATTGACCTTGGAAGGCTAGGGACAAAATTTGGCTTTCCTTGCAGCCCTCCTTTTTCTCTAATTTTGGTCTGCACACTTAGGTTGTTAAACCTCCAGAAGAGAAGTTTATTGTTATTACCATACAACCTAGGCTGTTAAGCTTAACCTCACTATCTGTCTGAATATCAAACATCTTAGGTATAACATGGAACAGGTATTTTTCATCCAGTATTGATATGTTGAACTTTAAGTCCCTATAGAATATGATGAAAAAATATTTTAAAATTAGGATATGTTTTTAAAATAGGCATAAAGAATTATATAATTCTTACGTTTACGCATAATTCCATAAAGCTAACCATATACAACCTTGAAGCAGGACAGTCCCACAATATTCCTTTTCCTGTGTCCTGTCTTCATTCAACACCCCCTTCTTTTTGGACAATCATCACCCTAGAGACAGCACAGCAGCAACTGGCATGTCATGACAAGCAGCCCGTATTCAGAAGACCAGAATGACAGGCACTCCAAGCGTGAACCTACTGTTGGAAATTGCCATCTTCAGTGCAGTTCCTTAGTTCACAGGTGTCAGTATATATTGTTAGTCAGGGTGAGAATCTTTCCAATTAACTGCTTGATTCAAAAAACTTCTGGAGATTCTCAGGATCATTATCTTGCCCATCTTCTACATATTAATGTATGGCTTGTCACTGTCATATTTCCTTACTCTTCTACTTTCCCTTTATTAACTAGTTAGAGCTCGAGTACTTCCTCTACTTTTACTTG